TTTGAAATCTGCCCAGCCTGGATTGCCTTGACATGTTTTTTTCTGAATCAGACTGTCAGTAACCCAACCCAGGTCACTCATCTTGAATAATCACAGAATCAAAGAATGGTTTGGGTTGGAAGGGACCTTAAAGATCATCTTGTTCCCACCCTCTGCCCTGGGAAGGGAGACCTTCCACTATCCCAGGTTGCTCCAAGCCTTGTCCAACCCAGCCTTGGAGAGTTCCAGGGATGGGGCAGCCACAGCTTCTCTGGGCAACCTGTGCCAGGGCCTCCTCACCCTCACAGGGGAGAATCTTTTCTTAATATCCCATCTAAACCTACTCTCAGTTTGAAGCCATCTCCCCTTGTTCTGGCACTCCATGCTCTTGTAAAAAGTCCCTCTCCACCTTTCTCGTAGGTTCCCTTCAGCACCAGTCATTGTGTCTCTGTGTAAGGCACATTCACATTTGATTTTCCAAAGCCTCATTGGGGCGACAAGTCCCAGGAAGAGCAAGCAACAGGGCACTGGGACGTCCAGGTAAAAACACAAATCAAGGAGCAAAAAACCCCACCCCCAGTTTGATGGGCAAAGCTTTGTAAATGCTGGAACTTTTTTACCTTACTTTAACATGACAGTTCTCCATGTGCAGGCAGAGGGGGGATGTTGGTGCTCAGAATCCACCCTCCCCTCGCTCCTGCTCCATAGCCTGGCACTCTCTGCATCAGAACCCCCCATCTTTCATCCTTCTGCAGGGTTTGAGTCTCTGCTCCCCTGTGGCTCTGGCTGTAGGACCAGGGCCCTTGAATGCAGAAATCCCTTTTGCCATGAATGTATTTTAAATACAAGCTTCCGAATCTCATTACGTGCTGCCTTTTCCTCTTCCATTCATTTTCCTCCTAACAATGCACCTGCCAATATCTGCCCCTGAGCTCCATTTTAAGCAGCGTTTTCCATAGTTAATGTCACACTCTTGCTCCCAATCTATCTTTGGCAACTGCTGACTGCCTGCAGCAGGACCAGAGGAAGAGGGAAAGCCCTCCCTGGGTATAACAATAACACAACACCCATTCCTGGAAGAATGATGAGATAGGCTGTGTCATAAATATTTATAAGAGCGAGCGTGATGAAATGGATGTGTGGGATGCTGAGTCTCCCTTAGGGTTTGGTCATCACATGTTTTTTCCCTCTTTTCTTTCTTCCCTGTGATACAGAATTGTCCTGATGTCCCCGGGTTGTCGAGCAAATTGCTCATTGTGTTGCTCACTTACACAATGCATGTTATTATGTGCAACCAGCTGCTCCTGTTTGGCATTGCTGGCGCATACGGAACAGGAGGCTACCGCCACTTTCCTCGTCTGGAAGTCAACGTTCCCTCCAGTGCCAAAGTTGCTGCCAGACCAGAAGAAGTCTGAGAACAAAGCGAGTCCTGGTGGTGAAGTTCCCCGAGAGACTCCCTTTCTGGGAATACCAAGGTTGCAGTTTTGCAATGAGTTTGAGCTGATCCAGCTTTGTGCTGCTGTTGAAAGCTTCCTCCTGCCTCTGTCTGTATATTCGTGTGGCTTTCCTTGTGTTGGCACTAACTCTTGGGTGATTGCATGGGGAGCTGGAGCAGGGGACTTATTTTGTTGTTATTGTTGTCGCCAATTAAGTTTTCAGCACCATCCTTTCCTCTGTCCAGCTCCAGGCTCATTCAAGCACTAATGCTGTCACAAAGGAAAGAGCAGCCAACTCTTCTGGTAATTAGAGCAGCTTAAATCAGTCATAAAATGTCAACCTCAGCGCTGCAGCCCTGTCTGGAGTCAGGGATAGGCAGAAACCAGAGCAAGGCTGTGTTTGAGACTGCGAAGTTTAATCCTGCTTGGGAGAGAAAGTACCTAAGCTGTGAATCTTCTTGCTCCTCACTGCTCTCTCTCTGAAACAGCTTTCCCGCTATTGTTCTTTTATTTTAGGGGGTCTTTTTGTTTAGCAAGCCTTGGTTTTTACCTGCATTTGTTTAGTATCTTCCACAATTAGATTCACATATTCTGAATTCAACATGGAAGTGGACATGGGCTGCTTAGTGTGGGTTTGGATCCAGAGCCTGGAGAAATTCTGGTTCAGATCTCTCTGTAACACATGCTGCTGGGCTCCGAGGCCTCTTGCACTACACCAGCCTTTCAAAAGCATGGATACCCCCTTGGCTACAGGCTGGATGAATGGGAAAACCCTAAAAATGAGGGGTTTGGCCCTTGAAATGGGACTTTACGCCCTAAAAATATGTCCCTGGATGTTCAAAATGCCTGCTGATCTAAACAAATTTATAGCAGCTTTTGCTGGATTTCTCTAGTTAGTTGTTATTCCTGGAATCTCAAACAAACAGAGATATGTACTGTCCATACACCTGACTCACCAAAAAATTTTTGGAGCACAGAAATAATGTCTCTTAAAGGGGGAACAAAAGGCTGAACTACAAACACCTGCCACTTACTGCTGCTGCTCTGCCTGTCACACTTTCTTCTCTCAAAGTATCAAAAGTTTGCAGCTATTGAAAGGTAGAAAGAAACTCCTCATGGGCAGGAATGGGAACGCTGGGGAGTCTGCAGCACATAAATGGGAGCTTTTGCTGCTCTAAGTATTGGGGCAGAAATGCCATTATCCAGGGAAGGAATGTCCCTTCTGTTGGCAGGGCTGCTGTCACTTCGTTCTTTACAGACTGACAGCCAGGGAGTTATCCACTCCTTCCCAAATCTACAAAGTGACTCCTTCTCCAGGCTCTCCCTCTGTGAGTGCCACGGGAAGTGATTTCACCTCTGTGAGCAGACTTGGTGTCACTCCTGCAGAGCACAGGTGTTGTCAGTGTGAAGGAGCTGGTGCTCTGGGTGATGTTACTGCTGCTTTCTCAGCTCAGGGGCTCTTTGCCAAGTCATCTTTGTTTTCTTTTCCATGGGGACAGATATTCAAGGAATATACATTGCAAGCTTGGGTTTGTTGAAATGTTGGTTTCGTTCCTGTTTCCACAGACATGCGGGAAGACAGAGAGGTGCCACGGAGGAATCAAGTAACACTAATGTCAGAGAGCTAAGGCAGGAGTTAGACCTGGGTCTTTCAAAGCTGGTGGCTGATTCCAACCCCAACCTATTGACATGGACCTGGATCGACACCTTAACACAGGCAGGTGCCCTTAGCCAGAGTGTGTAGACCATTAGCAATTTTCATTATTTATATTACCCTAGACTTGCCTGACTGTAAGGTAAAGTCTTCCTTGCTTAAAGGGAGGGAGAAATGTCTGGGATTTGAGGAAAAAAGGGCAGAGCTGTGTCTGAAAGAAACCCCTGACAGGCACAAGGAGATATTCCTTTACAGCCTACTTAAAGCAATTTGACAGCAGCCTTAAAACCACCTCACACAGAAAGGAGCAAGTGGGAAAGGCCCAGAGAGAAAGGATGGTTTGTGGATATCATTAATCTTTACCTCCATGCTGGAATAGGGCAGAAGGGAGTGTGGATATTACTATCCCCTTTTCTTTCCGCAGGGAGGTGAGCAAATGGATGGTGCAGGAATGGGGTTGGTGGATTTGCTGTGTCCTTTTTACCCTCCTTCCCAGCAAGGTGTGCTGTGAGTGTCCACCTGATGCTGGGCAAAGCCTCCCTGTACATCTGTCCAGAACAGGGGGCTGCTGCCTCCCAGGGCTTGTCTGTGCTGACAGTGCCAAGAACAAACTTAGAGTTGCATCACTCACAGGAAACCTGCTTTCCTCCACGCAGCCTTTCTGGTTTCATTTAAGTTTTTATAGCTCATTATATAAGCTAATAAATAGGAGGATCTGGATTAAAAAGGTTTCTTTTTTAATATTCCGCATAGCTGGAGCCCTCTCCACATTCCACCCCGCTGTGATAAAACATCCTGGTGCACGGGGCAGCTTCATCTCCCTTCAGAGGCCAAAGCAGACCCGCTCCAAATGCGGCTGCCCTGGTGTTTGGTGCCACGTGCCAAAAGAAAGGTCTTGGTGTCACTTTCTCTCAGGACCAAACCTGTACCTGTGGCTTTATGGGTGTGTGGACTTTGTGTCTGGGACCCAGCCAAACCAAGCTGGGGGCAGCAACTTTGAGCTCCATCTCTCATCTCCCTGCCTCATGGAGATGAGCTGGGCTGGTGGAGGGGTCCTGCCTCCCTCTGCAGTGATGGGGTGCACACGTGCCACACTGTGGATTTTATTTGCTTTATTTTTACAGACAGCTGAGCAGAACAGGCTAGGCTTTGACGCCCAATGAACGACAACACCCGGAGGAGCTGTGCCTCGAGACTGAGCCTCAGCAAAGCGATGGCGATGCGGTCTCTGGTGTCCGATTCCCTCCGCTGCCCAGCCCGGTGGTCAGCGCGGGGAGCCCCGGCAGCCCCGACGGGCAGCGGGGCCGCTGAGGCGGCACCGTGAGGGGAGCGCGGCGGCTGCGGGCGGCGCGGTGCCCTCCGCGCTCACCCGTAGCCAAACTGGAAAAAAACCTAAAGAGTTTGAGGGAAATATTAATTAAGAACCCCACATAAAATGTTATAAATGCTTGTGGCTTGTGGAGCCGCCGGCGGAGCTCCGCACCTGCCGTGCCCTCCTCCCTGAGGGAGCGGGACCGGCCGAGGCGTCCCCGGGCAGCACCGTGAGGGGAGCGCGGCGGCTGCGTGCTGCGCGGTGCCCTCCACGCTCACGCGTGGCAAAACCGGGGGAAAAAAGCCTAAAGAGATGTGTGTGTGTGTGAAATTAATTAAAAAACACACATAAAATGTTATAAATGTTTGCGGCTTGCGGAGCTGCCGGCGGGTGGAGGAGCCCCGCACCTGCCGTCCACCCACCACCCCCCCCCGCCTCAGCGAGCGGGGCCGCTCCCCCCGCCCGGGCTGGCAGCAACCTGTTGGTGCGGGCGCTGCCGGGCGGCGGGAGGAGCCCCTCGGAGGGGCGGCCGGGCCGCTGACAAAGGCGGAGCAGCGGCAGCCCAGGGCCGCCCCCGGCAGCGGGGCCCGGCGGGCAGCGCGGGGCTGGGGCTGGGGCCGGGGCGCTCGCACAAGATGGCGGTGGGGCGGCGGGAGAGCGCGCTCCCCTCGTAGATGCGGCGGCCCCTGCTCCCGGCGCCCGGCGGGGCTTACATGGCGCTGGAGGACCTGCTGCTTTGTCTCTGCTTCTCCGCCCTCGCCGTCCTGGCCGTGCAAGGTGAGTGAGGAGGGGAAGGAAGGAGGGTGGAAGGGAGAGAAGGAAGGAAGGGGTCGGTGCCCCCCAGCCCGCGGGCGGCTGCAGTGCCACCTGCCCTCGCTCGGGCAGCGGGCGGTTCCGCGGGGTGGGCTGCCCGGACGGGACCCTCGCACTGCTGGTTCTCACCCCCTGTACCAGCCCTCTCTCCCGCTTAGTGACCATTCTCCCACAGTCACCCTTTCCCCCCTTCAGTGGCCGTCCCGTCCCTCCGTGGCCATTCCCCCCTCTCTCCCCCATCCCCTTCTTCCCTCCCGAGTCGGGCGACAGCTGCGCCCGTGGCCTCAACCCGTGCCTGGATGGTGCCTCCTTTGGGATCACCTTTGGAGGGTGACCCTGGGGGTGACACCCTCTCATTTGGAGGGTGACACTCCACACAGGGCCCCCCCTCAGTGGCGGGGGCAGTGGACCAGCAGCAGCGTCCCCCGGTCTGTGCCTGGACAGTGGCAAGTTCCCTCCGGAGGGACAGTGGCCGTGCCAGGCTGGCCGGGGATGAAGCGCTTGTCCAGCGTGGCGTGGCCAGAGCAGGCCCAGGTGTGTCTGGTGGGGACCCTCACTGCCCCTCGCTTCGCTGCCGCTGGCACGGAATGTGTGGCCAGGCAGATGTCCCGTTGGTCAAGGAAGTGACCCAGGGGTAGCCACGCTCCTCGTGCCCGAGTTTTGCAATGGTTACGCAAAGGGCTCCGTGCAGGGACACACGTACACGGCTGTGGGCACATTTGGGACTTTCTGCGGTTGCTGTCAAAGTTTGCACCGAGGGTCAGTCAAACTGTGGACCTTGGTGTGCACAGTTCATTCCCTGTGCATGCACGAAGGTGTAGGCTGGCAGAGTCACTCTGAAAAATGTGAGATGTGGACTCGCTCTCGTTTAAAATCCCTCCTAAATGGGTTACTTGTGGTGGAGGAACCATCCCTATGTCATTGTACATTTTTATTCCTTTTATGATGCATTCAGGTTCTGCAGAGCATAGTAACAGCACGTGGATGGCTGCAGGGTTGTTTTCTTTCTTTTTCTTCAGAACATTGTGAGCTGCTGTAAAAGGAGTAGGTTATGAGTCAACATAGGTGCTGTGATAGAGGTGAATAACGGTGCATGTAAATGGGACATTGTCACCAGTGCTTGTGGGTTTTCCTGGATGGATGGCAAGCTCTGACCCCACCAGCAGCTGGGCTGGGTGGGAGCTGCATCTCCAGCTAAGTGGATCCCGAGGCTTGTAATCGAGAACAATGATCTTTAAAAAAAAAGAAACAACCCAGAAAAAATGGGGGGGGTGGAGTGGATGTTGTTTTTCCAAACCCACTTCAACGAGAAAAGTTCAAGTGCTTTGCAGGAATTTACAGTTGTGGCTTCTCGGCGTTTTTTTGCGAGCAATTAGGGAACTAGTGAAAATTGTTTCTGTTTGTTTTCTAACAATGGGCCACATCTTGTGTAGGGAGGCAGGGAGTGCATCCGTGCAGTCCCTGGACGTGCCGCTTGGTACATGCAGATGTGCTTTCCAACAGGTGGGTTTGATTCTGAAAAGAAAAACATGGACTTGTTTCAATATGAAATTAATTTGGCAGAGAGTTGAAATGGTTTTGGGAAAGTCTGTGTTTGATCCTAAAGCCCATGTGTTTTCATCCAAAGTTCAAACCTCGCTGGGTATGGAGTACCTAAGAGAGAAGTAGAGTGGAAAACCTTCCCCCCTTCTGGACTTGATGGAAGCAGTGGCACTTGCTGGGGATGTGATCCAGTGTTTTTGAAAGCCTTCTGCTGTCTGACTTTGAGCCTGTTCTCCCTGCAGTAGCAGGAAAGTATTTAAGGAAAAAAAACAACCACGAAACAACCCCTGTCCAGTTGACTCCGGCAAGGGGGTTGTGCTGGTGCCATTCCTTGGGGCTCTCTGCAGGGAATGTGTTGATGGGAAGTGGGCTGAGCTTTCCATCTGATGGATCAGCTGAAATCCATCTGGGTTTGTGTCATTTGGGTTTGTGGTTGAGTCCTTTTGCTATGGAACAGGTTTCCTTTTTCAACATCACCTTGCTTGAGCCGTGATTTGTTTTATCCTTCCTGTTACGTTCTCCTTGGCAGCATGACCCCTCTGCCTGCTGAGTGCCTGTTCCGGGGAAGTCAGCATTCCAGTTGTTTGGGAATCACTGTCACCTGCCTGTGGATCCACCAGCCCTGTGCCTGTGGCATTGCAGTGTCACCAGTCCAAGGGATGGGTGATGCAGGGACGAGATGTTTCCTGTGGCCCCCAAGAAATGGGGGGCACTGACAGTGCCAAACCTCGTGTGCACAGCGAGGGTTTGCCTGTATCCTGTTTCCAGGGGCAGGTCTCTCCCACCGGAGCTTGCCGGGGCTGTTGTGACAGGCTGCTCCAAAGTGGGGAATGTTCCTGCTGGCATTTCACTGTTTCTCTTCTGGTGTGTGAGCCTGAAGGAGAAACAGCTCAGGCTTGGTTCTGGTTTTGTTTTCCCTAGCTTTTCCTTCTTTTTTTTTTTAATGCCCTCTCCTTTCACTACCTTGAAGTCCAAAGTGAAGCAGGACCTGCTCGTCTTCAGGCATCTCCCCCCTCTTTTGCAGCAGAGTTTCTCCCAGCAGCTGCAGCAGGTTTGATGTGCTGCAGAGGCCCCACGGGGGTGGGTGACTGATGGTGGTGCCTGAGCCACCTCGGGTGCAAGTAAGAATTGGAAAATGTCTGGCAATCTGCCTTTCCTGGGGATGAAGGGAGACGATTCTCCCTGTGTGCAGCCTGGTTTGGAGCTGGCAGCAGCTTCTGTGGGAGAACACAGAGGCACCAGGGCCACATGATTTTGGGAACAGCTGGGCTGGGGGTTGCATCACAGGACATCTCACCTGAGTGCCCACTGTGATGCTGGGCCAGTGGCTTCACCTGCCCTGGGATCCTCATGGCCCATCTTTAGACAAATGTAGAGATGTTCCTCTCTGCCAGAGGTGTGGAGAGAATGAAATCCATCCCTGAGGATGTAATCCATCAATAAATGCTCAGCATATATGTGATCTTTGTCACTCTAGTGTACAGCTATCCTGAGGACAAGGTGCTGGGCTGTCCCATGGATTTCTGACTCCTGGTCCCATGTTGCTTACCAGATGATTTGAATTCTTACCTCCCTCGGAGCTGCTTTCCCAAAGGCTGGCTGTTCTCCCAGGGAAAAAATCCAGGTACCTGTGAACCAGTCTGGGCATTTGCAGCATAAGAGATGTTGCTTTGCACCATTTACACGTTTCTCTCCTGTTTAAATGGCTGCAAGGCCATTAAGCCTAGTCATGGTTATATAATTAAGATGGGAATTAATATTTAATCTGATTGTAATTTGTTGCTGGAATCCATCCCAAACTGTATCTCTGCATGAGGTGAGTGGGTACCTGAGGGAAAACTGAGGCCAGTGTTACACGTAGGGGATTTTTTGCTTGGACACTGGGAATTACAGGCCTGCCTTGGGTGACAGAGAAACCCCAACCTTTACAAACCCTGAGTGATCATAGTCATTTTGTTATCAGTAGGAAGCAAATGTTTGTTTTATAGTCAGCTGTAATACTAGAGGGGATATGGTAAATCCCTGTTATCAGTATTTGCCAAGTGCATGTTGGGCCAAAATCAACTCTGGTGCAATTTTGTTACTTTCTGGAGAAGAACTGGACCCGCTTTTCTACAGTATTTTTAGCCTGGTTTTTGAAGGAGAAGAGCTGTCGTTGTGCCATCTGGTCGTGCGTCCATCTCCCTTTCCTTTTCCCAGTAATTCTGGACCTGCTGGTCAGTCACAACTGGTTTGAATATGGAGAACTTAGAGTTTTTGAAAATAAGCAACCAAATAGAGGAAAGAAATGCATTTTCTGCATGGACTGAAGGAGAGGCACCAGCAAACCTACCTGGGAAGGAACCCAAAGTGCCTCAGCTGCCTGTAGAGCTTTGAGCAGGTCGTGCACCTTGTTTGGGTGGGACAGGGCAATCCACTCACAGCACACAGAGCTGCAGGAAATCACCACCTCAAGTCTTGTAGACACTTGTTTATTTTTGGAGTCTTTTCTGCTGTAAAACACGCTGTTGTTTTATGATCACAGCAGTGTTCATGTCACAAGGCTTGGTGACTCTTTTGCTTTCCTCTCTTCTTGGGAAAGCACTTCCCAAACACAGGACTTTGACTCTTTCCAATGTCTTTGTGATGGTCACTTGCTGTCTCTGCCTCAGTTTCCCCATTTTTTCCTGCTGGGCAGGAGATGCTGTTGCACACTGTAAACACGAAGAACAGCATCACTCCAATTACCCTTCTTGCATTTATTAAATCCCATAAGGGACCTCCAAGTTCTGCTTGTGCTTTTCTGACTTAACAGCTTGTTGGTGAGAGGATCCACAGTTGCTAACACTGAATCTGCCATCTTCACAGAAAGCAGGATTGAGCTGTGTTTTCACACAGCCCCTACAGAGCTGCTAAACCCCCACCAGATGTGGGGGAAGTCTGAAGATCTTTTAGTTTGTCTGTCTTTGAATATGCTGGTCATCCTTGAAACATGGTGGAATCTCCTAATTCTGAAAAGTAATGGAGCCTTCAAGGGAGAGGAAGAGCTGATGAGTGTTTCCTTGCAGAAGGGTAAATATCTGCTGGAACTGCAGCTGCTGAGAAGGGAAATTCCCTATTGGAGCCCAGCCAGGTGCCATCAGCCTTGTTTGAGCTAACCCTGTCCTGTGTGCGGGTGTCAGGACACTTTGTGAGCGTGGAGGTTGTGGAGCTTCTCTCCTGGACGTGTTTTCCTTCATGTCACTGATGCCCTTTGGTGTCTGTGTTTCACTCAGATCCTCTCCTGCTCCTAATCCATGGAATCCTGCTGCTCTGATATGGGCTTGCTTTATCTGAGAAGTCCAGCAGCTGCCGTGTCTTATCTCCGTGGGTAATAAACATACTTTGTGGTGGTTATGATAAGCAATTACTGTATTCCAGGGAAACTTTCATATCAGATGTTC